CCCCAAAACCCCAAAACCCCAAAACCCCAAAACCCCAAAACCCCTCTTTTGTGAAAATTGGTTGAAATCAGAAGTGATAAAGTTTTTATCTACTAAACACTAAAATTTTACCTAAAGCCTTGATTCTCAAAATCTAGAATCCAAAGCGTCAGACCAGATTCAACTTTTCGGCTTATTTGTGTGCATATGGCATGTTAAATTAAAATGTTTACAAGAAAGTTGATAATTAAAGCCCTCCCTTCCTTACTCAGTAACTCCAAGAACGTCAGGATTTAGAGATTCTAGAGCTTTGCTCGAATACAGAGTGATAGGGATGTCAACAGGTGTTTTACCCTTATTCTTATCCTTCAGAACTTCGATGTGTGCATTTACCTTCACTAGTTCATCAAAGCTCATCGAGTTGCTTCTGGAAAGAGTAGATTTCTTTGATTTACCATCATTATTCAGCTTTCTCTGAGCTGTAATCAAGGTATCAGTGACTCAGATGTCAATAGAGGTATTCTTGGCCTTGTATATTCGGTTCTCTATTGGAATAATAGAATGCACTTTGTCCAAATAAGCTTGGTTGGTGTACTTCATATAATTTGTCCCTGACTTCAGCCTATCAAGGTCAAACTCCAGGTGCTCGCTCTTATCCACAGCTCCAGAGCCAACCACCACGCTCACAGGCCTTGGGAAATTGATGCCTCTCTCTTCAAACTCTTGCTCTTGAACTTCTTCATCTTCTCCCTCTTTGCCTTCTTCATCTTCTGCTGTATCAAGTAAATTGTCTTTCTTTTCTTCCTCTTCGGGCTCATCGAAAAACTTGAACTCCTCCTCTTTGCTGTCATGGTACTCTTCAATGCTGGCATTACCGTTCATGTATTCCTTGACTACTGCATAGTCGACATAGAGAAGGGAATTCGGCTGGCTGTAGGCCCTGAGCCTGACCTCAGCGTTCTTCTCGAATAACAGTTCCTCTATTTTTAATATGAACTCATCATTAAATTACAAACGACAGATATGGTGGTTTATTAAGTGAAGTCCATACTCGGTATTCTCAGCGAAGATCTTGCCGAAAGTGATGTTATTGAATGCTTTAGACATCAGCTGGACTACCTGCATCATTACAACCTCCTTGGTCTTGTACGAATGCATGTCAATAATATCAGGGGAGAACAAAAACCTCATGAACATTATGTTGATAATCGGTAAAATCTTCTTGATTCTAGCGGTCGAGCTTGGATCATCCTCTTCATAGTAGTAATGATTCACAGTTTCGTAGATAGTATAGATACATTCAAGAAGGTGGTCTGGGATCAGGCTTATGTTTTCAAGGATCATCTCATACCCTTCAACTATAGCATCTCGAATAGGTTCACACTTTGCTTCGTTCATCATATTGGCAGCGTTAAAATTCTTCAAAATTTTGATCATTTTCTCTAAAGGAGTATCCATGACGATTCCCCTGAAAAAGTTTGCAAATCATGCAAAGTAACGTTTGATGAGTTTGACATGGATACTGTTGTCCCTGAATACTTCCTGCTTGCCTTTCCCCTTCTTGTACAGAGAACTAATGCACCTCTCCAGGTAGATCTTAAAGAAATTCGAGAAGTGAATCTGGTCGAAATAATACTTCTGAATGCTCTTTGTATTCACATCAAAAGAGATGTGATCCAACCGCAGCAGGCTATCAATAACATGGTTCTGAGTGCAGTCGGCTGGATACTTTTGAGCCTTGAAAATTGCTTCGATGTAATCCAGATTTATTCACTGCTCATCTTGAATTTTGAGAATATCCTTTGGTAAAACCTCGATGTTTTCTATTACAAAAAATTTCTCAAGTAGTTTTACCACTTGTGTATTCACATTTTTAACTTTATTAAGCATCTTCATTTTCTTCTTATCGCTTAGTTCAAGTGGGGCAATGAGGCAGAGCTCCTGCAGAAAGATCAGAAGTGTGCTCACGAACACTCTCTCTGGGAACGGGAGGGAGGATATTGGCACTTTCTCCAACTTGCCTCTCTTTGGCAATCCTTCAATGATAGTTTCCAACTTCTGAAGATATACATCGAGCAATTCTGAATTCTTCTTACTAGAAGGGATTAAGCTTTTCAGATAAGTGAAAACAACCTTGACTTTCACCTTTGCTTTAAAGTCAGGCTTACAATACTTGCAGCTGGCTATCATATCTGCATCATGGGAATCATGAGCTCACATGCTTGTCAAAGTAGGTGTTTTCCGATTGACTATCATAAAATGCAAGCCTGCTAGCAAATAGGAGTAATGTATCAGGGTGATCTCTGGCGACTTCTTCGCGGTCTCTTCCTTCTTAGTCTCCTCCGCACTCTGTTGCATCTTCCTGGTGATTACAGTAAATGCAGTAATTATATTGTAAATATAAGTCTCAAAATCTACCTTTTCCTTTGAAATCTCAAGGATCTGGATCAGTGCTCCAATATCAAAGGTGCTCAGGCTGACTATGGATTTATAAAAAAGCTTGAATTGTTGGTAATATTCTGATGGCAGGACGGACAGGGATACCTTGCTGTGAAAGAAAGCTTTTAAAGATGCCATTTATATCCAAATAAATATTAATATTATAACTCATATCCCATTTTTCTTTCCTTTTGGGGTTTTGGGGTTTTGGGGTTTTGGGGTTTTGGGGTTTTGGGG